CTAATGAGCCACCCTCTGGCAGACATCAACTTGCCAAGCCCCACTGCTGTCACATTCCACCTTGGAATGGCACATGACTCTGTAGGAACCATGTAAGACACTGCACATCTGCTCGCCATGCATGTGTCACCTGGCCCTCCATAGAACTGCTGCTCACCAAAATTGGTATCTAACAGTACCATTGAATTCACTGATGTTAGAGAAGAAAGGTGATGTCTTTTCCCTACCTATCACAAGGTGTCAGGCTAAATCCCTTACAGAATGATTAGCACAAGCAAAACACGAGGCCCAGGAACTTTCACAAATGAAGACCCAAACACCTGGAGAAACTATTTGTATGGACTGGTATGCAGACACGAGAAAGGAAAATAATAAGGTCTGAGCTGAGGGACTGTGTAGCAAAGCTGTTCCTCCACGTTCTTCTCTGCTGGTGGGTGGAGGGCAGCACATCCTCTGGAATGAGGATCTTGAGATCTGCTTACAGGAAACTAGGTCAAAGAATTATTTTTCTGGGCAGCATCAGGAGGAAAGGTGGGAGAGGACCAGCCTGAGACCTCTCATCTGTGATACCCTGAGTTTCCTTCAGATTAAGACACTCAGTATGCCAGTGTCCTGTGTTTGGGGATACTGTGTTCTGAGCCCTGACACCAGACAATTCTGTGGGTTGAAACTGAGTTAGTTTCCACGGGATGAAATGGTCCCTGCTATTACACAGGTGTTGTGGTTGTATGGTATCCACCTAGGACCGATGGTATGACACGTTCGATGCTAGTTTGGGGCTGGCTACTGACTATGCCACAGGTTACCAGCAAGCCAACCTGAAATGTGGTGACAGCATTCTCAGGGGAGGACTAATGTATTCTTTTCTAGGGCTGTGCTCACTGATATCTCACTGACCAGAAAAAAATGGCACAGCCAGAGCCAGTCTATGTGGGAAGGGGCTGTATCCAAGAATATGGACATATTCAGGCTTGTGCAGTTCTCAACAGGGTAACACATACTTCAACCATGTCAACATGCTTCAGTGGTCCAACCTTTAGAAACTGGTATAAAGAAACAACTGGATGTGTATAAGAACTTTCACTCATTGATGCTCTTACAAGTCTTATTCCTAATAAAGATAAGTTAGAAACCATCCAAATGTTCAATGACAGGGTTTGGCCAAGCAAGTCTGTGTGATTAGTACAACACAACCATTTGTTCTTGTTGTTGTACACATGCGTGCATGCATGCTTGCGTGTGTGTGTGTGTGTGTGTGTGTGTGTGTGTGTGTGTGTGTGTGTGATAGACCTTATGACATAGACCAGAGTCACCTTGAATCAACTTAAACTAGGCCAGATCTCCTTTACTGAAGGTTCTTCCAACTTATCTACAACCCACAACATAATATCTGTGAACAATGTCATCTGGGCTGGAGAGATGGCTCAGTGGTTAAGAGCAGTGGCTGCTCTTCCAGAGGGTCTGAGTTCAGTTCCCAGCAATCACATAGTTGCTCACAACCATCTGTAATGGGATCTGATTCCCTCTTGTGGTGTGCCTGAAGACAGGTCACTCATATACATAAAATAAGTAAATAAATAAATGTTTAAAAACAACATCACCTATTTCTTGGTTTCATTGACAACATTGGTATTCCAAGGATTAATAATCTTTCTTGGCGCATACCTAGGATCATGGTTGGTGTCCCTATTTTTTTAATGAGGTTAACAAGGTTAATGTAAGTTTTATGTGACATGGAAGCCTTCAGAAATGTAGATCCTCAAGAAAGCAGGGAAACTTATGTGTTTTTTATGCTGGGCTAGGTGAGAAGTGGTAGTTGGGCAGTACTATGATTGGACATGATTTAAGGGCAATAAAACCAGGGGAGCTCAGTAATGCTGGCATGTCCCTGAGTTCCCTAAGATGAAATCACTCCTTCCTTCCCAGGATAAGATGGACACCTCAGGATCTTGTTCAGGTCAGCGGGTACCATGGATACTTTCAGGGATGCTTTCTTACTATTGTGGTTACACTGGAAGGAGTTCCCTCCTCCTCCCCTCTTCAGAGTCACATTTTTCTTTCTCACAAGTCTCTATTGCTAGGAAGCCCTACTCTTTCTGGTCAGTCATTACCTCCACTATCACCCACCTTTTTCCTGGACAATGGTTGTCCCATGTAATCTTCCTCACCCCACTTGTTGAAGCCAGACCTCTGTGTATAGCTAAAAGGATGTGTGTTCTGCAAATATGAAAAATCTTTCTTCAAAGAATTCTCCGGATGTTGCAACAACTCGTCCTCTTACCATTACAGGGGAACAAAGGATTCGCCCAGATTCATCTTACAACTGAGAGAGTCAGGAAATAACAAATAAAAACAAAGCTCCTAGTTTGGGTCCAGCCATGGTACTCAAGTTTCTCATAAACAAAGGTCCTGTTGGTGTATAAAGGGGGACTAAGAGACAGGTGCCCTTTGTAGAGAAAGTAAGTGACCCATCTGTTGACACAGGGAGGAAGAAGGAAATACAAAAGTCTATTCTTGCATACTGGAAGTCATAAAGCCATTCAGAGCAATTCGAGATCTGAGAGTGGCCTGTACAAAGCACTGCCTGATCCCACCAGGGAAGAGAAGGGCAGCATGCATGTCACCAGCTGGTGTTGCCTTGCCAGCCAGCCTTAGGGAAGCCATCGCAGACATCCTCGGAACTGGGGCCACCACAGCCTGCTGGGGGAGAGGAGGGTACGTGCTTTTCTCTACAGGACAGTTCTCTATGGTTGGATCAAAGATTCCCTCATGTCAGCACATGTCCAAGGAGTCTGACAGATGTTGGCTAGGAAAGCTGGGGACCCGGGTAGTTGCATCGTGTTTGGGAAAAGGACAGTTGGAGAATACACTCTTAGGCAGATAGATATATGGAGGGCATACAGATTAATACAGATTAGAAGAAAGGGTGAGTTGGGTGTTTAGTGTGTTGCCTTCATGTGTATCTGAGCACACTCCTATATAGCTACAACCCTACAACCCAACCAGAAAGTAATCTTCTCTCTCTCTTTCTCTCTCTCTCTCTCTCTCTCTCTCTCTCTCGAGTAGTGGTAAAGGTGTTAAAGTCCATGACTGATTCTGAATTTTGTTTTGTTTTTTTGAGACAGGGTTTCTCTGTATTGCTTTGGAGGCTGTCCTGAAACTTGCTCAGTAGCCAGGCTGGCTTTGAGCTCACAGAGATCTGCCTGCCTCTGCCTCCTGAGTGCTGGGATTAAAGGCGTACTCTACCAATGCCTGGCCACACCATAACCTTTTAAACAAGGAACTAAAAGTAAAATCAAATGTCACTTTGGTGGGATACATGTAAGTCAACTTTGATGACCATTGGTCTGATGCAAGGAGAATCTGAACAAAGTATTTTCAAAGGTTACACTCTTTTACTTTGAAAAAAAATGTTTATTTCTGTCTTTCTGTATTTAGTGTGTGTGTACATGTATGTCCCCAAATGCACACACACCACAACGCACATGTGCTCAGAGGACAACTTTCAGGACTTAGTTCCCTTCTTCCATGTGGGCCCTGGAGATCCAACTCAGACTGTCATGTCTGACATGTCTCCACGTGGGCCCTCAGGTTGCCTGTTTGAGGAATCTTTTGTCCTCTCAGCCATCCTACTGGCCTTCACAGGTTACATCCTAAAGGGACAGAGTGAAAACAGAGCAGAGCTAAGCATGTGACTTTGAATGTGGCTGTGATTTCAGTCTGGGGACAGTGCTGCTGACAAATGATCCCACTGATGGACACCTTTATCAACAAGGCGAGGCTGGGGGTCATCCTGACTCCACCCAACCCCCACCCCACATGCCAGGGTACTGACACTGAACTCTTCAGTTTAATCCATCAGTACTGAGAGACTTGCCACATAGCTGGCAAGAATTCTCGACCATGGTATGTAAATTGATCTTGACATTTAATTTCTTTTAAAGTCTATTTGGGGAATTTTTTAAAAACAGAGCTGCATTGAAGCAAGATTATTGAGTAAAACTTACTAAGGTATAACCTTTCCGTTGCCCTTTCCTTCAGTCCTCCAGGACTACCCAGGTGCTGGAGGGCTCTCCACCTTTCAGACAGAATAGCTGCTTATGAGGCGGATTAATTATCATAGCTTTCTTCATATGGGTTTCCGCCTAGGATGTTTTTCTCTAAGGCTGCATGTTTATGCCTTTACTCTGTCTTATGGATTACTAAAAAAGAAGAGTATATATGGAATACATTGGGTACCCCAAATATTTATCTGGATACATTTTTCTTTTCTTTGTTTTGAAGGAAAAGGAAACCCACCCATTTCATTCAAAAAGGCCAAAGCAGGGTGTAGACTCCATTAGAGGGATGGGCTCCTTCATTCTCTCGCTCCAAGTAAACAGTAACTACTTTTCAAGACTGAACAGAGAGCCGAGGAAGTAGGAAGAATTCAACATGAAATTAAATTGAAACTTCTGGGCACCGTTGCCTGCCTGTACAGTGCAGTGCGGGGAGGTTTGGCAAGCTGGAGGGAAGGTGGGCGGCATCTCATCCCCCACCCTTACAGGCCCAGCTGGCACAGGGAGAGCCAGGTCTGCTGGGAGAAGCACTAGAAAAGGCCAGCTAGGGTGGGAGGGGCAATTCTTTCCTGTTTTCACTTCCAGAGACCCTGTCAAGTAGTTTTGTCATACCTTAAAACACAAGTTAGGAACCACAAATTATTCCCATGCCATGCTTCCTTAACATTTATTATGTTGAACTTCTTGCTGATAAATGTTTGAAAAAAAAAAAAAAGAAAGAAAGGAAGGAAAGGGGGAAATGATCCATTCGATATACCAAGTGTTTTCGGTTGCCTCATTTGGTCAAGAGAGTGTAAGTCATTTCTCCAGTTAGAGTTACATTTAATTAATTAAAAAAAAAAAACAACAAACCCTGATGATTCCTTTGGAAACCTGTGACCCACAGTCTCTCCGCCCTCTGTCCACTGAAGAGAGGCTTAGTCACCACTCACAGAGTGTTGCAATGGGTGTGACTCACAGAGAGAAGTAGAGAAGACTTCACATACACAGGTCGCAGATCTCCCTGGACACCTTGAGAGGATCAGCTTGCTGAGGGCGGGCAGCACTTCCTTCCCCTGGGCAAGTCAGGAAGGTGAAAAGCAGCTGTCCAAGTCACCAGCGGCTTCTGCATCCCCAGTCATCTTCAGTGAGGTAACTGCTGACTGTTTGGTCATTTGTCCCTTCCCTTACCATCTCAACCTAAACTGTCTTTGATTTTCCATGCTCTGACAGAATGAATCAGGTTGTATTTCGGTTATGGTCAACTGGTTTTCTTTAATATAGTATGAGAATGATGGGAGCAGAGTCCATCTCATAAGGAAATGATTTCAGTGTGAACCAGGAGCCTGACTGAAATTCTTCCAGGACTCCGGACTCTGAATATCCCATAGCATCCTGTAGTCACAGCTAAATACTCTCTCTGTCCCTCTCCCTCTCTCCCTCTCTCCCTCCCTCCCTTCATCCTTACAGCCCTATCTGATGCCTTCTGTGAGTCTTGCGGCCAATGAGAAATAGGAGAGCACAGAGACCTGAGAGTTGTAGGCATCTTAACAGAGTATCTCGGGTGGAACAGTGATGGCCATCTGTGGCCTGATATGTCTCTCTCCCTGCTTTCCCAGTATCATCGGTTTCCATGAGCACCTATAGACAAACACTCACCTGGAAGAGAAAAATTGTTGGAAATGAAGAAAGGATATTTCTTCTTTTTTTAGTAAAGCTTTTTTTTTTCATATTAATTCCAGTTCCACCCTCTATCCCCTCCTCCCACTCCCCTCATCCCATCCCTCCTTTTGCTCCTCAGAGAGGGTAAGGCCTCCCATGGGGAGTCAACAAAGTCTGTCCCATCACCACATTGAGGCAGGAACAAGGCCCTCCCTCCCGTGTCTAGACTGAGCAAAGTATCTCTCCAAAGGAAATGGCTCCAAAAAGCCAGTTCATGCACTAGGATAGATCCAGGTCCCACTGCCAATGGCCCCACAAACTGCCCAAGTCACCCTCTGTCACCTACATTCAGGGGGTCTAGTTTGGTCCTGTACAGTCAGTAGTCAGTGAGCTCCCACTGGCTCAGGTCAGTTGTTTCTGTGGGTTTCCCAGCCTGGTCTTGACCCCTTTGCTCATATTATCGCTCCTCTCTCTCTTCCACTGGACTCCAGGAGTCTGACTCAGTGCTTAGCTGTGGATCTCTGTATCTGCTTCCATCAGATATTGGATGAAGGTTCTATGATGACAATTATGATAGTCCTCAATCTGATTTCAGGGGAAGACCAGTTCAGGCACCCTCTCCTGATATTACTTAGAGTTTTATCTAGGGTAATCTTTGTGGATTCCTGGGAATTTTCCTGGTGCCAGGTTTCTCGATAATCCTATAATGGCTTCCTCTATCAGGATAATTCAAGAAAGGATATTTCTAAGGTGCGTGCACAGCCTGACCCCCAGGTTCTGGGTTGGTTCTGGGTTGTCAGTTAAAAACAACAAACAAAAACCTCTCCTCAGATAGTTACTCCACATTTTATGAGAAAGTGACTTGGTGTTTCAAACACCTGCGAGCACACTTGATTTTTGGCAGGTGGGGGCAATAACTCTGTAAAGCCCCATGACACTCTCAGTCCAGAGCTAAGGGTTGGGCTTTATTTATCATACAGTCGCTGGGCACATATTAGATGTCTGAAATATCCTTGGCTGGATGAGGCATGACGTGAGAAGGAAAGGCTCTTTCATTGTCACTGTACTGTGTACTTTCATGTTTGAAAACGGTGCCCAACTTTTAGAATAAATCTCAGTGTTTCGATACAAGGAAAATTTGTTGCTTCATACATTTCAAAAGGAGAGACCCTAATGACAAATGCCACTTTCTCAAGGGACAGAATTTTAAAACACTAACATTTTCACCTGGAGTAAAGCTGTGGCTGAAAGAAATATCCTGAGGATTCGGATGTGCTCCCTGCATTGATACACATCCGCTCTATTCGGAACTTTCTCTCAAGTGTTGTGACTGGGAATTATATAACACAAAGCATACCATCCCTTCCAGCTAGCAGTTACTATTTTGTGGCCATAACTGAAGAAACTGTAGATTTAACAGTGATTCCTAATGTGCTATTACTGTCTGGAAGCACAGAGACAAAACAATAAATGTAAGAGGACCTGGGGTGATCAGTATTCATTAGCAAAGATGCTTAGTAAATTGCTTTAGTTTAAGAATGTTTACCTATCTATGGGACCTGCTGTAGTAGTTCAGTACTTATCCCTAGCATAGGTGTGGACTTTGGGAGCCCATTCCAAACAGAGGAATACTCCCCGAGCCAAGACACACGGGGGTAGGCCTAGGCCCTATCCTAAAGGATATGAT